ACTTTACACTCTTCTACTCTCGATTGCATCGATTTACCCCACTGCACTTGAAAAATTGTTTCAATGTGGCTATCGTTGTTAATTTCCAGACCGTTGACCTTAACACCATTTGGCCTAAGGTCTGAAAATTACAAAAAAAACCACCCCTCTGAGTTTAAATAATGATTTTTTTTTTATAAAAAATAAAAATAAATTGTAGTTGCCGTCGTGGACTATACTTTCTCGTTGTCTTGAATTTTTTTTATTTTTATTTTTTTAAATTTTTTTTGTTTTTTTTAAAATTATTTAAACTATGAGGGGCGACTTTTTTTTATTTAATTTCAGCGATTAGACCAAACGATGTTAATGTCAAATGTCTGACAACTAACGACGATGACCACATTGAGACAATTTTCAAGTGCATGGAACAAATCAATGCAATCGAGAGTAGAAAATGGTAAAATAATACCTAATTAAAACTAAAGTACAATGGAGGAAAGTTGAATTTACCGTAAAAATTGCAAATGAAACAAGGGGTTGTCTAGGGTCCGAGAGGGCCATACTTCTCGGACCGTAATTTACCAATGAGAATGCGCCACATATGATTAGTACGTACCCAGTAAAAAAAACATACGATACCTATCTTATTATTAAATTACATAAAACCCCTTTTTCATTAAACTTAAAAATATAATTAAAAAATCAATAATTTAAAAACGTAATTAAAGAATCTAATCATTCTTTCACAATCTTTTACCCTAATCTCCCTTTTCGTTTTTTTCAAAATCATCATCATCGTCATCGATCTTTCCTCCTCTAAGAACAAAATGATCCTCTCTCATCATTCAAGGTACAATCTTTTTATTCTCTGTTGAAAAAGGAAAACAAGAAACTAAAGGAGTAGGGTTTTGATTTGTCGTTTTGATTATCTAATTAAAAAATTGCACAACTATATAAAGAGTAGAGTTCTTTTTGAATTGTGTTTCGTCTAATTATTGTGTGTAGTGAAACAAAATTATATGTTTCATCAAAAGAATCTCAATGAATCAAATATATATAATTGAATATATTTGTTTTTACCACATGTATGTTTATTTTGTTTTTACCAGATGTATGTTTTTAAAATATAATTGTTGTTTTTACCAGATGTATGTTCTTAAAAGTAAAATATAATCGTCGTTTTCGTTACAATTTCCACCACAAGTTTGTCACACAAGTTGTACTTGTGTAATTTAAGAATTATTTTTATCAAAAAATTAATAAATTGTATTCACGTTTTATATTTGTTGAAATAATTGATTCTCAATTGGTTGTTCGTGGTTTGCAAGGAGAGCGAAAACTCTACTGGAATTTGGAATATGCTAGGCGAGATTTTAAGGACTTAATGCACAAGACGTTTAGTCTTCATTATGTTTTCGGGAGCAAAACATGGTGGCCGATTGCCTAGCGGATTATGCTCATAATCACATTCATCATCAAGTTTTTTTTTTCCAGCAAAATAATCTCCCTGCATGAGTATTACAACATAGCCTCATTTGGCACATTGTCTTTTCATCCGTAGGCAGCCTTTTCGTATGAGGATCTCTATTCTTTGCAAAGAATAGTTTTTGAAGATCGTGTTGGTTTGATTTAATTTCGGTTTTGTTGGAAGATTGAGGAAGTATCAAGACAAGTATCGGTTTTGGGCTCCCCAATTTTTTGTCGAAGATGGGTTTTCTCATATCCAAAATCCAGCCCCTTTTGGGGGCAACTTTGCTATTCCAGGAATTCTAGTTTTAATAGGAAATCTTTTTTTTTTTTTTTACATTTCTTACCCTCTTTTGGGGTTTTCTTTGTAATGAGTTTCGGTGGATAATAGAGAAAAAAAAGAATTATTTGTGATGAATACTTGTTGATGTAACTACTGCGCGAGCCGATTTTAATTTTCAATAGTTCCCATTATTTTCTAAAAGGCGTTATCTGAGAGTGTACACTGTCGCCTAATTCTATAGCATCGAGTGCAGTACAAGCTAGTAATAAAGTAACAAATGTGAACTCGTTAGGCTTCTGGTCAGCAGATTGCATATGTCTTAACATATCAAAGGCGTTGTTAGGTTGCGTACTTTGAGCATAAACTGCAACCATCACACTCATTGCAATTAGATCTTTTTGTTTAAGATGATAAAAAAGATATTCCTAGCCGACTCAATATCACAAAAATTTCGCATACGATTGAAGAAGCTCTGTCATCACAGTAACAAATGCAGCAAATCCCATTTCAAGTACAACACTGTGAAATCCATGTCTGATATAATTCTCATCCAACTGTGAATACGCTCCGATTACTTTTTGCATGTCTAATATTTTTTTCACTGTAAGCTCGCAACTCGAGAAAGATTTTCAATGTTTTCTTTGGCCTATTATTTACGACACAACCATGTATCATGATCCTCCGAGAAACCATATCTTTGTTCGGCATATGCTTGAAAAACCGAAGTGCTGCCTCTAAATCCCTGCATTTGGAATTCATATAGAGAAGTGAATTCCACAAAATCGTACGACAATAAATTGATATTTTGATAGAATAACCACAAAGCATCATTTTATTAAATAATTTTAAGGTTTCGAAATATTCCTTATTGCTCCTCACACATGCAGAAACCATTACACTGCACAAAACCACATCTTCATTACGTGTCCGATGAAATAATTTCCATGCAATCCTCATATCCCAACATGAGTAAACACCAACAAGTGCAGTCACTATTGCCACCTGTGAATCAATTAACCCCATCTTTATTTGAATATCCATGAATCCCACATGCCAAATCTTTCGAGCCTATTGAACCGACAACCTTTATCACACTTAAGACAGTCACAAAATTTTGGCCTTTCTGCCGAGACGAGCATCGCTTTGAATAAACCTATGGCCTCCTCAGACATGTTTTCCCTGACCAAACTGAATATTCTAAACGACCATGATCTTGGAATATCCTTATGTTTGAAATATTCTACAGGGTTTACCATATTCAAAGAAATGTGGGCTTTGCCATTTGGTGAGGCCTGATGAGCTGCGTGCTCTTGGTAACCTTATCGAACAGTTTGTGGTCACAAATTCCAGCGTTAACCACATCGCTCTATGAGGCATTTACTCGAACACTTTGGCTGCCTATATTTCACCTTCCTCAACACACTTTTCAGAATTCAACCCTTTCCCATGGTTCCTCAAACCTCAGCTTCAATTTACAAAATCGCAAGAACAACGATTTGGGGTTCATGACCTCTAAAATACCCCATATTTCCCGACGACCATCAGAAAAGATTGAAAGGGTTCAAGACAATATTGAATATTTCCATATGATATTAGTTGTAAAAAGATTGAGAAGATGAAGCAGCCCGAAGACTTCGATTTTTGCTTAATTTCGATCCGCAGACTTTTTGATTTTTTATTTTGGGAAGAACATTTGAGTTTTTCTTTTTAATCGTGTATTATAAATTAATTGATCTGATTATTATAATAGTTTTTTTTAATGGAAATTTAATTCATTGGTTTAAAAATTTAAGGTTAATTAAGTAATTTTAGCAAAGTACGATGTGTGTATGATGGGGTACGATGTGTTTTTATTGGGTTCGTACCAAATACTAGTATCGTACTGACTCGTACTGGGTCGTACTATTAAATTAATGGCTGAGATTAAAAGTTAATTACTTTATACGCTCCAGATTAAATATTTTACGGTCCGAGAAGTACAACACTCTCGGACCCTAGACAATAGAAATCGCATTACGAATAGTTGAATACTACTTCAGTTTTTTTGTTTCACACTCTTGAAACAAATGTAAAATTGAGAAAGTGGAGGTGTACGAATCCATGTGTAGACTTGCCCGCAGAGGATCAAAACCCCATTTCAAAACCACTATATCCCCTACGAAACGCAATTTCCACTTTTATCCTTTGCCCACAATCTCCGCCGTCCTGTCTGTACATCATCTTCTCCAATCCCTTAAGCAACAAACTATTATTATTATTATTATTATTATATTATTATATTTTTATTACAACAAAACCACCATTAAAAAAAGGGGGAAAATAGAAAAACAGGAAATAATAAAGTTCATTCCTTCACACTCCGACCACAGTAAACAAACATCATCAGCAGCAGCAAATTCCCACCATTTTTGTTTCAGATTCAACCCTATACACTCAGATCAGCCCTAAAAAAACATTCTTCTCAACGCGCTACACGCGCTAATTAACTTATTTCCCCTTTATTTTATTGGTTTCTTATATATATATATATATATATATATATATATTATATTAAATATTCTCAGATCTCTTCTGTTTGTTCTTCTTTCTCGCCTTTTTTCTCAGGCTGGTATCTGCTTAACGGCGCATTCCGCTTTAGGTAAAGTTAAGAAATGATTTTTAGTTATATATTTATATATATAAATACTGTATGTATATGTTCATGTGTAAAGATGGTTTTTTTTTTTTGTTTTTTTTTGTTTTTTTTTTGTGAAGGTGAGAGATTATGCAGTTTGAATGTGGTTTTTGTCAGTGTGTGGTTGTTTTACCGTGCTACCAAGTCTTTGCTTTTGGCTTTTTCAGTCGTTAAGACTTATGTCACACCTAGTTTGAATTTTTTTAGAGAGAGAGAGAGAAGAGAGAGAAATAGATTTAATTATTGATAGTTTATAATTAACTAAGATTTAAAAATTAGGGACCGGGTCACTTGAGACAGTTGTAAAAAAATGTAAATTTTAGCGTACCATTTGTGTGTGTGTGTGTGTGTGTGTGTGTGTGTGTGTGTGTGTGTGAACTATCTAAATATCCTATAATTTAATTATTTGTATTTTGAAAATTTCTCCTACACGCCTTTGGAAGGCCGTTTCTTTGGTTTTACATAGAACAACTACTCTCTCTCTTTGCTTTCTTTTCTTTATTTAATTATTTGGAGACCAAGTATTATAGATGATGATATATATATGTATGTATATATATACATATAAAATATATATATATATCTCTTTCTTGTTTCGTGTGCATGTAATATTGCCATTTGTTTATGCGATTGAAGTAATAGTATTCTTGTGTAACCAAGCATTTGGGGCCTCCTAGGTTTGATCTGCAAATCTTCTTGATTTTTTCGGTTCTTGAAAAAAATTGAAATCTTTAGTGGGGGTTTGATACTCCCGATTATTCATCTCCGTCGAGTTTTTGCAGTTTATAGGTAATGTTGTTTTGTAAAATATTTTTTATTTTATTAGCAAGAGATTTGAATCTGGCATGAAAAGCAGCTCCCTTTTTGCTTTTTTTTTTGTATGATGAAGAAAAGAGAAAGCAACTTACTTTATAGAAAGAGAAAGTGTTCTGATCTAACTTCGCTCTAAGCTGCTTAAAAATTGGCGAATAATCGACTTTCTTTTTATCTCCGATGAATTTCAGGTTTTTGGTGACGAAAAGTGCATAGTTTTTTTCAGTTGCGTATATTTGGAACGAAAAAAAATGGCAGGAAGATCATCCAGACCTACCGATTCGCAAAACGGGCGGGGCCCACTCCCCCCACAAGTGACCTTCACGAGACGAACATCGTCGGGCCGGTACGTGAACCTATCAAGGGAGAGCCTCGACAGTGAAATCAGCAGCGCAGAGTACGCGGAATATACCGTGCATATTCCCCCGACACCCGACAACCAGCCGATGGACCGACCCAATCCGCCAATCTCCCAACGTGTCGAGGAACAGTTCGTGTCCAGCTCGCTATTCACGGGCGGGTACAACAGCGTCACTCGGGCCCACCTAATGGATAAAGTGATCGAGTCCGAGACGAACCACCCGCAAATGGCGGGGGCAAAAGGGTCATCTTGCTCGATTCAGGGGTGCGACGGGAAAGTCATGAGCGACGAGAGGGGCGACGATATCCTCCCCTGCGAGTGCGATTTCAAGATTTGCAGGGACTGCTTCGTTGACTCGGTCAAGACGGGTGATAGTATCTGCCCGGGTTGTAAAGAGCCGTACAAGAACGCGGACCTTATGCTGGAGCCCGCTGCGGAGAATAATAATAATCCTCTGCAGCTGCAGTCGAAGATGGAGAGGAGGCTATCTATGATGAAGTCGGGGAACAGGTCGGGTATATTGAGGAGCCAGTCTGGCGGATCGAGTGCTTTGGTGAGGAGTCAAACGGGGGTTGACTTCGATCACAACCGTTGGTTGTTCGAGACTAAGGGGACTTATGGATATGGTAATGCTATATGGCCCAGGGATGAAGGGTTTTCGGACGATAAAAAAGCGGACTCGGCCGAGGCTTTGGAGCTTCTTAATAAGCCGTGGAGACCGCTTACTCGTAAATTGAAAATATCGGCTGCGGTACTCAGTCCGTACAGGTAAAAAATCGCATAATTCCGTTTCGTTGTTTGGTAAAGTAATATATTAAGGGTTGGAAATTAGAACGGAAATACCAAATTCCGACGATTTAAATCCATTTTTTTTAATTTTATTTTAGGAAAGTATTTTTTTTTCATTTCGAATTCCAAAAGTTCGGATTTCGATTTTTTTCAATTTTTTTGGGATGGAATTGAAATACATATTAGATTCTGATTTCTGATTTGATTTTAATTTTCGTGAACATTTCCAAAAATGCCGACTTTTTGGAAATAAGTTTTTTTTTTTGGAGACTGACAAAACAATCTTTCCTGCAGGCTATTGATCTTCGTCCGCATGGCAGTCCTCGGTTTATTTCTAGAATGGCGAATCAGCCACCCGAACGAGGACGCCAGGTGGCTATGGATGATGTCAATCATCTGCGAAATCTGGTTCGCCTTCTCTTGGCTACTCGACCAGCTCCCCAAATTCTTCCCCGTAAACCGAGCCACCGATCTCAACGTACTCAAAGAAAAATTCGAAACCCCGACCCCTAATAATCCAGCTGGCAAATCCGATCTACCGGGGATTGATATCTACGTCTCGACCGCCGACCCGGAAAAGGAACCGCCACTTGTCACTGCCAACACTATCCTATCAATTCTCGCCGCCGATTATCCCGTTGAAAAGCTCTCTTGTTACGTATCCGACGATGGTGGTGCTCTTCTTACTTTCGAGGCCATGGCGGAGGCGGCGAGTTTCGCTAACTTGTGGGTCCCGTTCTGCCGCAAGCACGGTATCGAGCCGAGGAATCCGGAATCTTATTTCAGTTTGAAAAGGGATCCGTTTAAGAACAAGGTTCGCCCGGATTTCGTCAAGGATCGGAGGAGGTTGAAGCGCGAGTATGATGAGTTTAAAGTTAGGATTAACGGTCTGCCCGATTCGATTCGTCGAAGATCGGACGCTTATAATGCTCGTGAAGAAATTAAAGCCATGAAGCTACGAAGACAGGCTGTCGAAGATGAACTGTTGGAGCCGTTGAAGGTGTCTAAAGCCACGTGGATGGCTGACGGGACCCACTGGCCCGGCACATGGATCGTTTCTGCTTCCGAACACTCCAAGGGTGACCATGCCGGAATTATACAGGTATATATATATATATATATATATATATATATATATATATATATATTTATTGCAATGTTTTGCGTTTTATTTTGACGATTCATTAACACAATCTGCTGTTTTTTTCTTTTTTTTTTGTTTTTTTTAAGGTTATGTTGAAACCACCGAGCGACGACCCGCTAAATGGAACGGTGGAAAGCAGCCCTCTCGATTTCACGGAGGTCGATATTCGTTTGCCGATGCTCGTCTACGTTTCTCGGGAGAAACGGCCGGGCTACGATCACAACAAGAAGGCTGGAGCGATGAATGCTCTTGTTCGGGCCTCGGCAATCATGTCCAACGGGCCTTTCATTCTCAACCTCGACTGCGACCACTACATCTACAACTCTCAGGCGATGAGAGAAGGCATGTGCTTCATGATGGATCGAGGTGGGGACCGCATCTGCTTCGTCCAGTTCCCGCAGCGGTTTGAGGGGATCGACCCCTCCGACCGCTACGCCAACCACAACACCGTCTTCTTCGACGTGAATATGCGGGCCCTAGATGGGCTTCAGGGCCCGGTCTACGTCGGCACGGGCTGCCTCTTCCGCCGGACCGCCCTATACGGGTTCGACCCGCCCCGGTCCAAGGATCACTCGTCGGGTTTTTGTTGTTGTTGCTTCCCTCGTCGTAAGAAACCCGTCAACTCCGCACCCGAGGAGCACGCAGCCCTCAGGATGGGAGACGAGGAGGAGGAGATGATGAACCCGTCTCTGTTCTCGAAGAGGTTCGGCAACTCGAGCTTCCTCATCGACTCGATTCCCGTGGCGGAGTTCCAGGGGCGGCCGCTGGCGGACCACCCCGCCGTAAAGAACGGCCGCGCCCCTGGCGCCCTAACGATCCCCCGCGAGCTCCTCGATGCCTCCACCGTGGCGGAGGCGATTAGCGTGATCTCGTGTTGGTACGAGGACAAAACAGAGTGGGGTAACCGGGTCGGGTGGATATACGGGTCGGTTACCGAGGACGTGGTCACGGGCTATAGAATGCACAATCGCGGATGGAAGTCGATTTATTGCGTCACCAAACGCGACGCCTTCCGCGGGACCGCTCCGATCAATCTCACGGACCGGCTCCACCAAGTGCTCCGGTGGGCCACGGGATCCGTTGAAATATTCTTCTCGCGCAACAACGCGCTATTGGCTAGTCCAAAGATGAAGATTCTGCAACGGATCGCGTACCTCAACGTCGGAATCTACCCCTTCACCTCGTTGTTCCTAATCGTGTATTGCTTCCTCCCCGCGCTGTCGCTATTCTCCGGCCAATTCATCGTCCAATCGTTGAACATCACTTTCCTCGTGTACCTCCTCGTCATCACGTTAACTCTATGCGCTCTGGCGGTGCTCGAGATCAAGTGGTCGGGGATTAATTTAGAGGAGTGGTGGAGGAACGAGCAATTCTGGCTGATCGGCGGCACGAGCGCCCACCTGGCGGCGGTGCTGCAGGGTCTGCTCAAGGTGGTGGCCGGAATCGAGATCTCGTTCACGCTGACGTCGAAATCGGGCGGAGACGAGAACGACGACGAGTTTGCCGATCTGTACGTGCTGAAGTGGTCGTCTCTGATGATTCCGCCGATCACGATTATGATCACGAATTTGATAGCGATAGCGGTGGGCGTGAGCCGGACGATATACAGCGCGATACCGCAGTGGAGCCGATTGCTCGGAGGGGTTTTCTTTAGCTTTTGGGTTTTGGCGCATTTGTATCCGTTTGCAAAGGGTTTGATGGGGAGAAGGGGGCGGACCCCGACGATTGTCTATGTTTGGTCGGGGCTTATTGCTATTACCATTTCGCTCCTGTGGGTTGCGATTTCTCCGCCCGCTGGGGCTACGGATATCGGAGGGTCGTTCCAGTTTCCGTGATTATTTTGTTTATTTATTAATCATTATTATTAAAACAGTGTCAACTTTGTTATAGTTTGAAATTCTCCCTTTTTGTTCAATGTTTAGATGCGAAAAGAGCAGAAATTATTCAGATTCTTCTTTTTGTGATTTGAGGAACTTGGGAAAATAGATAATACTAGTATCTTTTGATTTTGATTTTGGAAGTGGTTATGAATTTTGTATTTTATTTTCAAACAGAGCTGACATTGAGTTTTCCCGCGTTGTCTGATCGTTTCTATTCAAAATTTGAATTCAAAATGTTTTCAAAATTTGAATTTAAATATTTTCAAAATTTGAACAATGAGTAATGCACATGGTATTTGAATGGTCTGTGTTTGGTTGTAGGAATGTTTTATACCTGGGGAATATTCTCATGTTTTTAGTCTAGGCTAGAAGTTATGGAGTCGCTGGTAGATTTGACTTTCTTTATTTAAAAAATTCTAATTTATTTCCTATTTTTCTGTCGTCAACACGCTAAATATTTAAAATTATATTAGCAATGTGATTTGGTAAATGCGGTTCCATTTTTATGCATACAGTTTTAATTTTCAAAAGTTTTCTCTCTCTAGAATTTGAGAAGTTCATATTTTGGCAATCCAAACAAAAAAATGGTGCACAACAGAATGTTTCACGCCCAAAATAAAAACAGGAAAATATCATTCCCAATCGTGATGGACGTGTGAACCACTGTTTAACGAATAGATCGCGGGTTCGACTCTTTTCGGTTTGTATGTTGTAATAATCAATATGCATTTTTTTTTTTGAGAAATAAAATCAAAATAATCCATTATTACTAGTGTCACTTTCTAAAAACGTAGAGGTTTTTCTTGTAACAATACTAATTATTCTTTAAATGAATAAGATGTTGAGATTGAATTATTATTGCTAAAGTTGACATCACAATATTATAACCTAATATATGTTGTATATAAATATTGACCAAAATATGAGAAACCTAAATCTGCAAGCTGTCGAGTTGAAAATAAAGCTGGATTACACAAAGTTGTGTCCATTTGGTCAATAATCATTAATCACACGTAGACCGTGTTACTAAATTCTATCAATATTTGTTGCAATTTTTAGTTTGGTCAAATTATGTTATGTGGTTGAACAATCTCTAATGAATAAATCAACTCAATGGTTTTGTCCTCTAAAGTGTAAATTAATCTATTTAATTTTTAATTGATTTATCAAATGAACATTTTCATAATTTTGAAACTTTTCTATCTACTTTCGACCATTTGTTCCAATTACTTAATTTGGCTAAATTTATTTTAAGCAGCTAATAAGTTTTCGCATCTGATAAATTGTTTTAAGAGCTGATAAAATAGAGATGCCCTTTCAGTGGTCGATTCCTCGTGTCTACAGGGTGCAGAATGTGGTTGTTGATAGTCTTGCTCAATTTGCCCGGTCTCACAAAGCCAGCTTTATTTTTCTTTTACCTAGGCCGCTAGATGTTCATAGTCGTATGTCTTCTGTATGGATAAAATAGGTCTTTCGAGTATCCATAGAAAATAAAAGGGTACTCTTTCCTTATTAAGCAAAAATATGGTTTTAACGAGTCCCCTTTGTATTTTCCTCTATTAATAATAAAAAAATATTTTTGGCAAAAAAAAAAAAAAGGGACTGAAAAATTGTTACGTCTCATTTTTAGGATTATTTTTTTAAGTGTTTGGATGATAATCGTATTACGTATAAGCTATTTTAGCCATTATAAGGAGTTGAAATAAAAAATGTGTGTACTTTTAAAAAAAGATATCATTTGTTCTCCAACAACTTATTTTTTTAATTTTCCAGAGATTGCTGAAAAAATTTACCAAACACTTTCGAAAAGCTTAGAAGTTCCTAAATATCTTATAAGCTCTTTTTAACAGATTATAAACTTAGACAAACATCCTCTTACTTTTGTATTGATACTAGTCTTGGGGTTTAATGAAAAATAAATATTTTTTTCGTATAAAATTTTATGAAAATGAAATTAGGGACATTCATATTGGGTCCAATGTCAGTTCTTATTATAACTTATAGTTCTATTTAGTTTTAGTTTATCATTGAAAATTGTAATTGGAATCAATTTATTATTTAGACTTAGTAATTCGTATGACTTGGTGATTATTTGTTCCAAGTTAGAAATATACTTGAGTTGCAAATTACAGTAGAACATTGATAATTTAATAATCTCGCTTAAATAATAGTTTTTTCTGATCTCGACTCGTTAAAAACCTATTAAATTATTAGTTCGATAATTTAATATTTCACTAAATTAATAGAATTTTGCTAGATCTAACTGTATTAATTTATAGAGGTTTAACTGTAATACGAAGTATTAATGGCTTTCGAGTTTCGACCGCTTAGAATTAGAACCCATTAGTTTAGTTTTCTATAGTAAAATCCTTTGACTTGACCAAACAAGATTTCACTAAAATCTGCATAAATAAAAATAAATAAATAAATAAAGTATGAAAATGAACATGCAATATAGCAGTGAACTTTGAAATGTAAATAATGGACTATTGCAAGTTCATTTTCATACTATTTTGGGCCTTAACCCAAGTTCGATCAATGGGGTTATCGAACATATATTGGTGAATTTTCCAGCTAACTAAAAGAAATTAGTTTTTGGCGTGTTGTGTCTTCCGTGTTGTGTCAATGTGGGTGAAAATCGGATGGATTTCCAACAAATTTTCCAAAAGAAAGTTCAAGTGAAAAATAAATTACATTTTCCTTCAAGAAAAATAAAGAAGCGAAAAAAACAGGAATCGAAATCTTAAAAATTGGAATGAAAAGAACTCGTCTCAAAGTTGGAAATTTTTTGGCTCTTAATCGACGGGACTAGGAAAAAAATATCCAATTTATTAGTCACCTAAAATATAAAATGCATGATACTATTAATATTATAATTTTACTTTTTGAAAATAAAAATCGTAATTGTTTCTGATTTTATTTTGCCGAAAATAAAATTAGAACGGAAATCAAAATCTTTTATATATATATATATATATATATATATATATATATGGTGTCATTAGCAATAAACCCCTTAAATCTTTCTTTGTGAAAACAAAAAACATAATTGTTTCTGATTTTATTTCGCAAAAATAAAATTAGATCGAAATCGAAATCTTGTATATAACGGATAAAGAAAAGGTAACATAGTTTAAAAATTGGGGACTACGATAGCTCGAACATGGAACTTTCAAAGTACGGTAACCAGTTGGAGCTCGAATATAGTTTTGCTTGGCATCCCCTACGTTTTAATCAATCCTGATTCCAACACTGGTTATAACAAACACTTTAGATTTATTTCACTATTTTTTTTAAAGTAAAAAATAAAAAATAAAAAATAAAAGAAATCCAACCCAGCTTTCTGTTTATTTTTATTTTATTGATGTTTAGTTTAAAAATAGTTTTCATGCCTATATTCCTTTAATTGCAGCAAATAATTTTCTGATATAAATTTACGCAATGAACCAACTCATTTGAAATTTTCACACAGCAGTTGTCATTCATCGATCCATGACGTTGCACCAATTTATTATCCCAAAATCAGTTGAGCTATACATATACGGACATAACTCCAACTAACTACTTGGATTATCATAAGCAAAATTTCGGAATCTCGGAAATTCCAAAAAATAAAATCACAACTAGAACGTTTTTTGGAAGATTAATTTAAAATACTCAAAATTAAATTGGAATTCTTTGAAATTTCAAAGAAAAAAATGCGAATAAATCACGTCTTTGTTCAATGAGTTAAATAATAAGTCAAATGGTAAATAGACCCGTGATAAGGGACTTAACTGCACATAGGTCCAGATAAAAAACAGTCTTGCAAACAAATCCATTCTGCTGTTTTTTGTCTAAAATACCCTCCATAGTATAATTTTTAACAATTCCCCATTATACTCTAACTTCACCACTATTGCTTATTGACCCGGATTTGAACAAATATATCACATTAACCCCCATTTTTATATTTTTATTTTCACAAAATAACTTTATTTTCGGCCAGATTTTGACGTCGACATTTTTTTTTAAACTTTTTGTTGTCTGGATTTTTTTTTTTCCGACCGGTCAACCGTTAGTCTCCGGCGGCGACGTTTTTTTTTTTTTGAAACTTTCTTTTTTTTCTATCTAAATTACTGAGTTAACAACAAAATTATTGTCTAAGAGATTAATATTGAATTCTAAAACAGTAATATTATTAATATTATTGTCCCAAACAATAATATTACTGTCTCAAACACTAATATTACTGTCCCGAACAGTAATATTATGAATATTATTTTACTGAACAACAATATTACTAATGTTACTGTCCCAAACAGTAATATTATTATATGAGACGGTAATATTAGTGTCTGATACAATAATATTACGGTTGAGGACGGCAAAATTGCAGGCCAAGACGATAAAATTAATTAATACAACAAAAATACTGTCTGAGACAGTAATATCATTGTCGACAGTAATATAGCAGGCTGAGACAATAATATTAAAATATTTTTTTTTAAGAAAATACAAGTTTAAAAAAAAAAAGTCAACGCCGGAGACTGGCGGCTGACCTGGCGGAAAAAGAAAATTCAGAAAAACAAAGTTAAAAAAAAAAAAAAAAAATCAACGCCGGAGACCAGCTAAATTGTGGTGTAAAAAAGTAGGGGTAAAAATAGATTAATGGTCAAAATTGGTTAATTGATGAAATTGAGCTAAATTGCGGTGTAAATCATTAAATTTGAGATGAATTAGGGTTTCAAGGAGTTAGGGGTAATTTTGATTTATAAAAGGGTTTTCCTTATTTGCAAATAAGTTTGAATGATGTAGAGTTATTCGCAAGACGAAAAAGTTGGATATCCCTTTTTTAATTACGTGTTCTTGTCCTATTTGTCATTTGTCCTAAATAATGACTAACCTTTTTTTTTTTTTTCCATTTGTCCTAAATAATGACTACCTTTTTTTTTTTTTTTTGAGGATGAACGTAAATCATTTACTTAAGGAAGAACCTCCATCAGTACAATATTTTGAATCAAATGAGGTAAACTTGTTAAAATACATGGACCCTTTAAAGAAAATTGAGCACTTCATGTGCAACTCTATTGTTCTGCTTCATGATGTGTCGTGCGGCAAAAGTTTCAGAGGATTCCGCTAAACTATGAATATCCGTCAAAACAACCCCATAACTCGATCTATCATCTTTGAGACAAAAAAATGCTTCTATAATCACGCTAGAATTGCCTTCAATGACAACTTTACTGCCAATTCCACTGCTAGTAGGCCGCTTATGCCTCTGCTGATGTAGGATCAAGAGTTTGCCTAAGACAAACCGAAGACCAATCCAAACACTCCAATGTATATAATCGAGCAATAGCCCCAAGTCCAAAAGAGATAACTTCTGGTGCTTCCTTCGATTTTCCTTCAAATGTATTTTTATTTCTTGAAGACCAAATCGCTCAGTATATCAAGATACACTTCTCTAAATCAATTTTATCTGTTAATGACTTCATATATAATATCCAAGACACTAGTTTATTATCAATCCATGTGTGAATATTTCACGGGATATAACTTAGTGCCCACACTTGGAAAAAGAGCATTTCGCAAGAATATGTTGAATCTCTTCCGCCTCAACTCCACACATGGGACATAAATGTCTGAATAACTACGTTACTGAGACTTATTAAAAAGACTTACTGAAATATACAACATGAAATTTATTTTTCTAAATCCACAATCATTTTTGATAATCAAAATTGCATCGGAAATCGAAATCTATCTATATATATATATATATATATATATATATATATATAGAGAGAGAGAGAGAGAGAGAGAGAGAGAGAGAGAGAGAGAGAGAGAGAGAGAGAGATTTCCAATTCCAATCCAAACAATTTGGAAAAAAATTGTATATCTAAATACCAGATATGAGAATGAAGATACTAATTTCAAAGTCGGAATGGATCGTAATCGGTGGAATTCAGAAAATTCCGTTACGAATTGCACTCCTAGTTTTGGATATGAAAAATACATGTAAACATATTCTGTATAATGCTCTAATCCATAATGCTTTAATTTATCTTTTTACAACAAGTTACGCTTAGCCAAGTTCAAGTCACATGATTCTAATACTACATTCCAATCTGCACACTACAAAACTACAAAATACACACAACACACATGCACATCACATAGCAGCATTAACCCGGCCCACTCCGCCGCCTCGCATTCCTCCCAGATCGTCTCCGGCGGCTTCGGCCGCCGCCGCTGCCGCCACCGAATCTGGCACTACCCCTCAACCCCCCACTGCTCCTAAACATCTCCCTCTCCGAAGGCACAACAACGCACTCGGGTGGGGACACCGGGTACCTCACATTGTCGTAGCAGTACGAATAATACATGTACCTCTGCCGGAACCACGCCATCGACTGCCGCCGCCGAGGGGTGACGGCGGCGAAATCCCTGGCCATGAGCGCCGCCGTGATGTCGGTGCAGTTGCTGGAGAGGAGTTGGTCGACGGGGTCGACGATGCAGCCCTCGAGGACCAGATCTCTGAACTCCGCCACGAAGGGTTGGTATCTGTAGTCGACTTTCTTCTTGCCGCCGCTAGTGGCCCAAGAGGAGGCGTCCCATATGGTGGCGTACACGGACATCGGCTTCGAGGGGTAGTCGCCTCTCATGGCGGCGTTGCGGATTACTTCTCGTATTGGAATTTCGTCCACGTAGAATCTGGTTTTATTTTTCACTTGGGAAATACGTCAAACATGTCTTGTGCAGGTCTGTTCTATGCTATATCGGGTGAAATACACCAGATAGATTTTTACCGTTCATATACACACAAACACACACACCCACATTGGTGTGTAGATCAACGGTAAAAAAAATCACCTGGTGTAATCTTCACCAGGTGTAGCATAGAAATAATCGTCTTGTGCATATATGTGTCCATTTATATTTAACGGAAACTTGTGTTAGTTATGGTAAAAACGCGACCGTTTGATCATAGCTTAATTATCATTTCAAAAGCAATAACATAAATTGTAGCATGCATGTTTGTGTATATATATAAATATAAATGGCTTACATGATGTTTGTTGGAGTCCAAAGTATGCTATAGCGATGAGAGTCCTTGCTAGGGTCGAACCACATTCGGTACCTCTCCTCCCTCCCACGTGAAACACTTCCATTCCCGTACACGTTCGTTTGGAACCTCCATGCTTTTCCTTCTACATTTCCCAAAAATTCTATGTCTAATTCGTCGTGATTCCTTTCAAATGTGTCCACATTTGATGTCTGCATAGATTTATATTATAATTGGATCTTATTCAACAATAATTTCCAATATAATAATCATAGTTTGTTGCATTAACTACCCCTATGTTATTTCGAATTTAATTTGAGCATCCTCCAGGGATGATCGTAATTTACCCTTAATATTTATATAACCATGTCGATGAATAATTACTACTTTCTTCTAAAAAATATACATCTACGAATAAGGAGTGTGAGTGAGAGAGAGAGAAAGTGGGACTAAAATTGTTGTATAGACATACATAGAAGGCGACGACAATGCCAGCGGTATATCGAGAAGGCATCTTAATGCTGGCGCTGAAGAAACCATACTTGTAATAATCAGATGATATAATGCCAGACCCTGATGAGTGATGATGACACAAATTTATACAATCGAAAAATTCAATATAATTTTAATCTGATCAATCACAATAATAATTAATAATAATAAAAAAAAACCTGAGAGACGGTTGAGGAGAAGGCGGGCGGTCTTATCGTCGGGAGATCGTTGAATGTTGAAATCGCTGAAGAGAGGAGAATACGATTCGTCGAATGTAAGGGTCGTCACGTTGAAACTGAAACCACCGCCTCCGATGGCTGTCGTGCAGAATAAATAGTTTATTAACAAGAAGAGACGCAATGTAATTGTGGATATCTTTCTTTCTACTCCACGGCAAGAATGCATCATCGTCTTTTATTTCTCTTTTTTCTGCTGTTTTTTTATCTTTTTTATTGTAAATCTAACTCCCATTTCTCTCTCCTTTCAAACATTTTGTTACATCTATTATTAGGCAAATACTTAATATAGATATAGCTGTTTTTTTTTTTTGCAAATTAAACAAGGGATATTTATTCATTGGTATGTTTCTATTTGTTTTAGATAATATGGTAAATTACGAGCACCTTGAGGTTAGATCACATAACTTACAAACCCTTTGTGGTACCGATAATTGTAATTACCCCTATATATGAGCTATTTCTCCATCTTACAATCACACAGTTATGATGTTATGATCAGGAATCTTGAAGATTCGACGGATTATTGTTATGAATTTCCAAATCCACCACATTAATAAATGTAACGTTTTATTTTATCTCAGGGCGATACCCGTAATTTACCAGAAGTTTGGTTGTTTAATTAATAAAATGATAATTTGGACAGTTCATTCAATCCGTTAACGGGTTGTTAGTTTTAGGGGTACTTGTAATTACCAACACCAATTATGAGTGTAAGTTATTTAGTTTTACCAAGGAGGTATCCGTAATTTACCCTATATAAGTAACAGATTGTGGGTTTTCCTATCTTAACCACTTGAGGAATTTCATTTTCCACTAGTTTCTTAACTTAACCTCTATATATATCATGATGTGTAGGATATAACTTTCATATAATTTCCCTGTGTAATTTCGATCCTTTTTATAACTTGCGCTGATTTACACCTATATAAATGTGATTCTCCGCCTTACCCTATACACATATATTTGCTCTTATTAATTGTCTCTTGCGTTGTTACTTTCTGGTTCTAATTTTATTATTGTTACTTACGTTCTTATGTATTATTTTATTCTACGATCACCAAACAAAAGCTAGATTAAATAAATCATTAACACGTTATCAACACAAGATGGTCGTGGTGATCGTGAAAGCCTATCGTTTGTGGGATGGGGATACTGAAGAACTTGTGATTCAAATTTGTCCGTGATAAATGGTTATCTCGAAGAATGTAAAATATTCTTTGTACAACTTGGATTTAATAATTTCAAGTAAGCCTAAATCCTTTATAATTTTGTACAATTAATTTATATTGAATCCATTTATAAAATTTGGTGACTTCTTATACATTAACCATCAACAGGTTTTAGGTCGTAGAACGTACGGAATTACTTTGTTTTCCCAAAGTGGGGTTATTTCTCGGGTTTTCTCGAGCGTACGGAAGCCACCGCAAGTCGGTACATTCCTCAAGGTTGTATCAAATGTTTGACAATGACACTGTTAAGGGTTGGTAAAAATTGAACCAAGGTTGCGTCGGGTCGTCAAATCGCTTTATCGGTATGGAAAGGTCCTTTCTCGATATTATCGCTACTTATTTCCCTTTATGTGTTCTTTAGGTTGATGTTTGATTAGTCATAACAATACTGAATTCCACCATCTTTTGTTGTCAAGATTGATGAACTTCGTTGATCTGCTTCACAAATCATCGATTTTTTAGGAGGGTTCTAGTGCTAGAGCCAGAAAAAAAATTCCCATCTCGCAATCCTTGAGATAAGACTGCCATCGACACTTCATCACCCGTCAAATGTACCTCCAGAGTGGCTGTAGTGAAACGCTTAACGTAACTTCCTAAACTATCTTTCTATTTGCTTGATATTGAATAAGGACAATAAAGTCTTACATTTTTTCGAACTGGCAAATTGATTCATAACAGCCTTGGCGAGTTGATCATAGGTAGGGGTGCAAGTTGGAACGGAAATTCCAATTTCCGCCGGTTCCGATCCAAAAAGTTTCGATGTTGGAACAACTTTTTTCATTCCGATTTCCGAATTTCTGAAATCCGAATTTTTTCGGTTTTTTTTTTTTTGTTGGAAATTTGGAATTGGAATTATATAAAAAAAAAATTGGAATATCCGATTTCCGGTCCGATTTAATTTCCGAAATTAATTCTGAAAAACCGATTTTGTTTTTCCGAAAAATACACCTATAAATAATATATATTATATATTATATAATACTTATTTTACATAATTCAAAATAATCTGGGGATTTAAAAGTATTTATACTTTATGGACATGTCAAAGACTTTTCTATGCTATATGTTACCTAAGAAAACCCTAGTTTCTTTTACGTTTGATTTAAGTTTTATTCTAGGATTTTGACGTATTGAATTGTTGCTAGAAGTTGTATTGAATATTATAATGTGGTTTATTTTTAGTTATTTTTTTGAACTGAAACAGAGTAGTTATTAGTTTTACTTTTATCGACCTGAATGTTCATATTTTTAGAAAATTATGAGATTTCAGAAAATTTTCGCTAAGTTTTGAAATTTAAAACTTATGCGATTTCCAAAAAAAATCCGAAATTCCAAAATTTCTGGGCCTTTTAGAATTGGAATGAATTTTTAGATTCCGAAAAATTTGGAATTGGAATTGGAATTGATTTTGTACTTCCGAATTTTTTTGGACATTTTCCGAAAGGGCTAATTTCGACCGATTCATCCGACTTTCACCCCTAATCAAAGGTGATACGGACCGTCGGATTGGATTAAAATTGCAAAATAACTATTTAATTCTGAGAAGGATTATTAATGGGCATTGGTGGAAATAATGAAAGACATTTATAGGAAAATAAGGGTTTTCTCCGAACTCCAAATGTATTTGAGTACGAAAACGAGCGCTATCTCAAGTGAAACGGCGTAAGGAACAAAACTCCATGAGCAAAGCTCATGAATCACATCAAATCTCAGCAATCCAACGTCGTTTAGACTCCTAAAAGTTCGTTCTTTGCTATTTTAGGCAAGTTTTAGAAAATCAATATCAAATCATAGAAAATTCGGAGTAGGATTCATTAAATTGGCTTGTTCCCAAAATTACAATATCTAGTAGAATTAGGCCCTAACTCGTTTTTACCATTTTTTGTATATTTTTTTCCTAGTTTAATTAGGGTTTTTAATTTTATTAGTATAAATAGTTGCTTAGGACTTTATTTTCAGAATATTTTCGAATTTTAATAAAATCTTTAGAGTTTTCTCAAATTTCTGGTGGATTCCAAAGTTTTCGGTGGATTCCGTATGTTCTTTAGTACTATATGATTAATTTGTAGAAATTAATTCTTTTACTGTGCTTCCGTTCTGCGTCAAAAAAGGATCGGATGTTGTCCTTATCCAACAATCTGAACCAAGGTTGGGCCGATTCAGTGAGCATAGTAGCCAAAGCTCGGCATTTCACGCCATCCTTTATTTGATGCAACGAGGCGGTATTGTTGAAATGACTAAGATGGGAGCCCAAGGTTCATTGTACAATTGTACTCAAAGGTGATAGGTCGATAATTTACCAGGATAGGGTCTCTGGTAATTTTCTTGGTATGGACTTCATTTCCCCAAACGGTTCGTGGTTCCTTAATATCCCTTCGAAGGCTATTAACCTCAGTTCACACATCGTGGTTGTTGTGCTCATGAACTAATGAGTAACTATTGCGCTCCTCGTCTTGCTTCCAATCTAAGAAACATTTCTTTCTTTCTAATTGTGTGGGCCCGACCCCGTTAGCTCGATTTAGCTTTCACCGAGGGGTTTCAGGAGGGGTGACCCCCTTTTTTTGGCTGCAACGGCGTCCATTCTATATGCAAATTCTTGGCAAGTGAACTCTCTCCTTCCATCTCAACATCTTTGCCCACATGAGGTGTGTTTGTGCAAAAAGGAGAAAGAAAAAAGTGACAAATAGTATACTTTCCCATAGAAGGCGCCAACTGATCGGACGTCTTTGAGCTGATCTTGCTATCGTTAGCTCCACATCACTTCCAATTTGCAGGATGGGATGCATTTCCATCGGAATGGTCGTCGGTCGCCGTATCTGCACCATCGGGAGGGGTTTACCCAATGTGGACCCTCCGAAACATAAGTTAGAATCTTATAAAGGTTTGAGTGATTCTCTATTTATAGATGTTCCTTCCTCGATCAGATGGTATCCGAGAGTTTATGACTTAATGGGCTTGTAGGATTTTATACTTGAGGTTCTGAATCGATCATATTCAGCATTTTATTCCTTACTTCGACTTCAATAGCTCGGGATAAATTACGAAGTAAAGCCGGAGCCCCTTAATCTGTTTTGTTCTCCCAAAATGTGCATTTTGGGTTTTATAGACTATGATCGATCCTAAATTAGGATCCATTTTGTGTTGCCTTCTTTGGGCCTAATTTTATTTTTTAGATTATTTTTATTAGTTAAGTCTATATGAGCATACTGGGCCATATGAATTAAAATTATACATGTTGAAACGCATGTGTCTGTTTTATGCTATATTGAGTAAAATACATCGGATAGATTTTCACCATTCACATATACACAAAAACATACAAATCTAAATTGGTGTGTATAGATCAACAACAAAAAATCACCTTGTATAGTCTTGATCGGATGTAGCATAGAAATAACTTGATCAATCGTAGCTCATATATTGTCTTAGGCTGTGTTTGATAAGAATAAGCACTGAATGCTGAATACGCATTTGAACAGCTAAGAGTTACGCCTGGATATTGAATGCAATCATTAAGCTCATTTGATAGCTGAAGTTCTCTAATGTCTGAATAATATTATTTTAATATTGTAGCTTTGATTAAATACCATAGTATTTGTTAATGAGTAACATATATATATATATATATATATATAATTCTTTAAGCATGATTAACTTAATCAGTAAATTATGAAATTTCGGTAGACATTATTTGTAAAAGTTTTTTGAAAGTGATTATGAACTTTTTTTGCTTATAATCTGTTTTTAGGTGTTTGCAAAATTAACTTTTGCTTTTGCTTCTCTAAAAATAATCTGCTTTAAGCTATTTTTTTAAAAGCATCCCTAAACCTGCTTTTCTTATTTAAGTTCATTTTCCAAAATATTTGCAATCACCCCCACATTTTAGAAATAAGCACTTAAAACCGACTTAACTCACAATCACTAACTTCTGCTTTTAAATAAGCATTTGCAAACACCACATAAACACATCTATGTATATTAAATTTCAAGTATTTAACATTATTATAGTATAAATACGAAATATAAAAGCCAAAGAAGCTTAAAAAGTAATCTCTAAGCAACTAAAGGTAGTAATACTTATTAACTTAACATATGAAAATATACTAAAATCACTAAAATTGACACGAATAAAATATATTATAACCTTTTATTTTAATGCATAATTAGACTTTATTAAGATGAATGAAAGAACAAAGGATAGAACATATTTATGGAGTAAAAAAGTTGGAAGTTGTGCAGTGTTGATTTTGTTAAAGAAGAAAAGTGGTAGTGTTTTGGGATATTACGTGAGTTTAATGTGAAAATATATGAGTTTATTAAAGGATAATTATGTGCAAATTTCATTCAGAAGTAGCACATGTTCGGTCAGCACCATCTTTTGGACTGAATAGTTAAGAGCATTTTGGAACTATTCAGTCATTAATATCAAGGGTAAATAGCACTTAATCCCCTTGTGGTTTGGACATTTTGCACACGACTCCCTTATGGTATGAAATTAGGCACGTAACCCCCTTTTGGCTTTGACATTTTGCACATGACCCCCTTATGGTATGAAATTAGGCACATAACGCTATTGTAGTTTTGACATTTTGCACATGACCCCCTTATGATATGAAATTAGGCACATAACCCCCTTGAATAGAAAACTGTAAAAGACTAAATTACCCCTAAAGAATAAAGACTTTATTTCTTTAAAAAATAAAATTCGATAACAACTATAATATAATATATTATATAGAAAATAGTAAATAATAGTCGTAATTAATAACAATATTAAAGCTTTGAAATATGTAGAATTATTTTACCGAATTATAATTGAAGAAAAAAATTAATAGTTCATAATTTTATATCGAGTTTAATCCTTTTATATTTGATTTGTAACATATGAGATTTTCAAATTGGTTCTAAAATTGAATAAATTATCAATCGACAATAACTAGTATTATATACCTTTTCTGTTGTAAAATTAAAAAAAAATACAATAATATATTATATTTCTCATTTAAAAAAAAAACTACATAAAACTTTTCATTTATAGAATAGTTATTTTTTAAATAAAACAATAAATTTTGACTTGATAGGGTAACCAACGAACATTTGGTATGGTTGCAACTTGGCTAAACTTTAAGGGTAATTTAGTATTTTCCAGTTTTCTATTCAAGGGGGTTATGTGCCTAATTTCATACCAAAAGGGGGTCATGTGCAAAATGTCAAAACCACAAGGGTCTTATGTGCCTAATTTCATACCATAAGAGGGTCATGTGCAAAATGTCCAAACCACAAGAAGGTTATGTTCCTAATTTCATATCATAAGGGGGTCATTTGCAAAATGTCCAAACCACAAGGGGTTTAAGTGATATTTACCCTCATATCAAACGCACTTAATATTCCAATTGCTTACCAATTCAGCAAATTAGTGATTAAGAGGCTCATTAAGAGCAATCAAACTAGGCCTTAATCACACATTACACCCTTTAAATGTAGTATTTTGTCGCTTTATAACCTTTGATTTTTTTAAATTTTTTTTATAGTATTTAGCACCCTTGAAACACAATAAATAGTTAACAATACACCCTCAATGAATATTTAAAATTTAATGCGAGTTGTTGTAATTTATATTGGTATTTTATTTCCGGGGTGCAAAAATAACAAATTAAATTGTTATTTTATTTTACCTCCGACATAAATTCGAGAATACAAAATGGCAAAAAAAAAATGAAAATCACGACAACTTACTGAAAAATAATATAATTTATTTCCAAAAAACAATTTTTCCTTCTCTAAATTATTCAATTGATGAATCTTTTATTGTAATTAGTGATAATATTTGGAGAAATATTTAGAAGAAAATATAATTTCCATATAAATTGATAACAAAATAGCTGAAATTTTTTGTTCTTTTTATTTTTTGTAAAATACTTTTTATGATTTTTTTTTAATATATTGACAATATGTATTTTTGTTTTTGCACTTTTTAGTTTCATGAATATGAAAAAAAATGATTTGACATTTGATATCCCAAAACAGTATTGCTAAAAATATTAAATTATCTTCATTAACTTTAAAATTATTTTTCAATGCATTATACATAATTTATTGAATTTAAGAGTACAAAATGCTAATAATTGTTTTCGAGAATTTAAAGTGCCGAAATACTATTTTTCAATGGAAAAGTGGGGTTAAGCCCTCATAAATTATTTAAATATATAAAATCCAACTGCCTGATAAAGAATTCCGAGCTACCAAAATAATTGCTTCCGTTCCTCTTAATTGACATTTTAATTTCTTCTTTTCCATTTAACATACTCTACACACACACACACACACACATATATATATATATATATATATATATATATATATATATATATATATATATATATATATATATATATATCTATAGAGATATATGTATATGTCTCTCAATATGAAGATGTTAAAGTCCTAGTAGTAATATATATATATTGATCTGTGTCTGGAGATGAGACATATGTATATGTAGGTGTGGGATAAAGAAGTATGTATCTGTCTATCTGTGCCTATAAAACGAAATCGAGCGCGCGCGAAATTGACCTATATCTGTTTCTCGTGAAAAATATATATATATATGCA